TTGATGCCAAGTTGTTTTGCCAAACTGTTGGAGGCTATTTTTTCTTGTTTTGCTAAAATTATATGGATGTCAAATTGAGATAGCAAACTCTTAGAGATGCTCTTAGGAAGTGCATAATCCCCATTCATTGATTTAATTAATGGTCTGGCAGATCCCATTCCAAGCCGATTGCTTTACTGCACTTGTTCCAAGGTCTACCAGGGTGTACTAATCATGAGTTTCTGCCTCAATCCTACACAAGCAAAAGGGAAAAAATGATGCTACAGTGGATGTTTCAATTCCTGTGGAATACGTTTAAAGTCAGCAGCGAAGGAAAATTTCCTCTGCCTTTCCTACGCATGAATCCTACGTACCAAAGGGCTGCACTGTATATATTCCAAAGGATTGTTGATTCCTGAATTTTTCCTTTGGAAATCCTCCACTCCAAAGGAGGCCTAATACTCTCTCTCTCTCTCTCTCTCTCTCTCTCTCTCTCTCTCTCTTTGTGTCGTATTAGCTATGTCCTAAAAACATTTGTATCTTTAACTATCGATTTTAAAAAGATTATATAGACATAAGATTTATATTTTTAGATTCAACGTAAGAAATACTGCCATAATATGTAATCTATATGTTGTGAAACTATACGATTTTGTGAAGTAGATGGTCAAAGATTTAGGACAAAACTAATGTGACATGTTAAAACAAACGGAGGGAGTATTTGCTTCATCTACTGGTTAAATACATTAAGCAAAAACGTGTAGTGGAGAGACTAAGTATTCTGTCCGTATTGGTCAACACATAACCCTCACTACTGGACGCAGGGTCTTTGCCGAGGGCCTGACGCCCTCGGCAAAGGCTCTTCAGCCGTCGGCGAAGGATTTGCCGAGGGCAGCCCTCGGTGAAGAACCCTCGGGAAAAAAAACATCGGCGAAGGAGTCTTTGCCGAGGGCCTGTTATCGGGCACTCGGCAAAGTATTTGCCGAGGGCTAACGGCGGCCCTCGGCAAAGTAAAGTAGTCGTTAGGTTCGCGGTTATTTTCCACGGCGTCTTTGCCGAGGGCTGACATACAGGCCCTCGGCAAAGAGCTTTTTTTTGGAATTTATTTGCCGAGAGCTATACCGCAGGGCCTTCGGCAAAGACCTATTTTCTTTTTTTTTCTCAGAATTTCTTTGCCGAGAGCTATATCTAAGGCCCTCGGCAAAGACCTACGTTTTTATTTTTGTCTCGGAATTTCTTTACCGAGGGCTGTGTTCAAAACCCTCGGCAAAGACCTACTTTTTAATTTTTCCTGGGAATTTCTTTGCCGAGGGCTATGGTTAAGGCCCTCGGCAAAGACCTGTTTTTAATTTTTCCTGGGAATTTCTTTGCCGAGGGCTATGGTCAAGGCCCTCGGCAAAGACTAGTGAAAATTTTCAACATTCCACCTGTTTCTTGCTTTCCATGCAGACAAAATATATATATATATATATTCAACAGCAGAAATATCCCACAAATATCACAATCATCACATATATCTCACAAATATCACATATATCTCACAGATATCACATAGATCATCACATGTATCATCACAAGTCCAAATTCAACAATTCCATAAGTCCACAATCTAACTCAAGTGTCAAGTCCACAAGTTCAAATCCGACTGAGGCTGGCCAACCTCTCCAACCGTCTGGCCTCTGCGTCACCAACCTTCCCAACCGTCTGGCCTCTGTGTCGAGGGTGGTGTAACGAAGCCTCCAGAATCAGGTGACGCACGAGGGGGGTTATTGGAACCCGCCGACTGAGGCTGCACAAACAATTATATGCTTATGTGAGATTGCAGTAATTATTCTAGGACTTACAGTTTTAGTATTTAGGCGAAACCTATCAAATTTTTATAGCTAGTGTTGTGCGGGTTTCTATGTCATACAAGCAAATCAGTAGCTAGTGTTCTCTGGGTTTCTATGTCACACAAGCGAGAAGTGAACTTTAACGCTTACAGGAGTAGCTGCAAACGCGTGCGGCACCTGAGGCGGAGGAGCTGACATCTGCACAGGCACACCCGTCTTCTGCCCAAGAGCTTGCATGATTTGCATCATTTCTGCAATCCTCGACCTCCTGGGCCTCCCGAGCGGGCTCGCTCGACCTCCACCGGCGAGTGAGGGAGGGCCGTGATCTCGCGCCGTCTTCTCGTTGGTGCAGGCCTGCAATATTGCACTCCAATATTTCAGTAATGCAAATCTAACTCAAGTGTGAGAATATTAATTTACGACGAGTAAAACAAGAATTACCTCGAGCGCATCGACCCGCTGCAGTGTCGGAGTAGGCCGTGAGCGTATGGGCTGCATTTGGAACTCGTGCTCGTGCTCGAGCTGGCTCGAGTGGGAACGATGGGTGGGGTCGATGGCGGCGTTCGCAATCCACGTCCGGCCGTGCTTCTGCCGCCACCGAGCCTCATGATGGCCTCGGCATCAATGGGCTCGGTGCGGACGTCACTTCTGCCCCGTGCAGCTCTTTGTACCGCCGACGTGTACTCCTGGACTTTAGTGTACACGTTAGGGTCGGAGTATGCCTCCAACCGTATCTCTTTCGGACGGGAGACGCCTAACTGGTTTACGCAATCTACGACAAAGATACAGGAGTAGAGGTTGTTTATACCTAAGGTGGCGGTGGAGACAGGGTAGCGGGGCAGTGGCGAGTCGGGGCAGTGGAGAGTCGCAGCGCCGACGAGGACGATCGACTACTCTGAAGCTCCTTTGACGTCCTTTGCTCTGCAAAAAAAAAGGGTATAAGTTAAAAATTTCGGCAGAACCTCCCCTGTACGGGGAGGTTTCCAAAACCTGCAAAAAAAATCGGCTCGATGGCCAACACCCACATTCACGGCACAAAGGCCGACACATCAACAACGGGAGGCACGAAGGCCATCCACATCAAAAAACGGCGCGATGGCCGACAACCCATGGTTTTACCTTCTACTCGACTGAGGGACGGGGAAGTGAAGGTGACGGCAAGGTCGTCCAGACGAGGCCGTTATCCAGAACCACCTGCATTGCATGCCCAAGTAATTGCTTCAAAACATGACCCGCTTAGACAGTGAATAAAACAAGTGCAACTGCAGAAAAGTACTGAACCAGTAAATCCTAAATTTACACGCTCTACTAGATCGATGCTGATTAATAATCAGTATGTACTTAGTAGCTTAATGATGGTGCCCGACAAAGCCATGCTGTGGAGATGATGATGCAACGACTAAAAGGCAAGCATACACCACGTACGTGCGTGCGTGGGCATGCATGCAAATGCATTATATATATTTGACGATGATGGGATGGATGGATCTCGCTCGTATAGCATCGATTCTATGGTTAGTTAACCACCAGCTCAGATAGATCAGGAAAACTGGTAGCTTTGTGCATGTATGCTGATTAGTCAGTGGTGGGTCCACGACGACTAACTGTCAGTAGCCCTAACGGTGGAATCATTGCAAGGGGGCGACCTGCTAGCTAGCTCGGAGCAGAGGGCTCACATCACATGCACGGTTCCGGGGCTGCCTGGCATGCAAGACTGGCCACATGTGCAATGTGTTCATCAGCGTACTTTCATTTCGTTAATTATCATGCCAATAATCAAACACCTACTTGTAACGGTTAGCTAGATTAATCATGCATATATATAGAGTTGTACTGTTACAACTAATTAAGGTGCAGTTTTTTTTTTATAATTTCAAAACATGATACAAACATAGACACGTACTTGTATAGATATACATACTGATGCACAACCGTTATATCCTGTAAGTATTTCCGAAAGACTGACATTGTGGTGGATTAACCGTAAACATCATGGTCTACCACTGAATGAAATGATAACGGCACCGAACCTTCAGGTCAAGACTGACAGGAGAGGAGGAAACGGGGGGGACGGGGGAGCGGCGGCGGCGGCCTGCTGGCCGAAGCGCGCTGTGGCGTGGCGGCTTGGGGCGGCTGGCCTGGCGCTGGCGGCGGCGGGCGAGGCGCAGCGGCAGCGGCCTCTTGCGGGCGGCGGCGTCTCGCTGGGCGGCCGAAAGCTGCGGTGGCGTCTTGGCGGCGGCGGCGGCGGCTGACCAGCGGCGGCGGCGGCAGGCGAGTGGCGGCTCGGGCGGGCGCGGCTTGGGATAAGGCCGCCCGCCCGGCCGTTCCCTTTTTTATATGGGGTCCCCTCTTTGCCGAGGGCCTAGATCCAGAGCCCTCGGCAAAGATTTTTTTATTTTTTTTATTTAATTTCTTTGCCGAGGGCCAACATCCAAGGCCCTCGGCAAAGATGTTTTCTTTTTATTTCCGCCGGCGCCATCCCGTTCAAAATATTTGCCGAGGGCCTGTACAACGGGCCCTCGGCAAAGAGTTTTATTTTTTTATTTCCAAATTCTTTGCCGAGGGCCTAACGCCGAGCCCTCGGCAAAGGCTGACGGCCGGTGCCGCCGTCACGCTCGGCCGAGGTCGCCGAGAGGCGGTACTGTGCCGAGGGCCCGACCCTCGGCAAAGGTGGGCCTTTGCCGTGGGTCGTTGATTGCCGAGGGTCCGGCCCTCGGCGAACGAGCCGTTGCCGAGGGCTAAGCTTCGCCGAGGGCAGCCCTCGGCAAAGAAAGGATTTGCCGAGTGCCCGAAATCAGGCCCTCGGCAAAGTCTTTTGCCCTCGGCAATGTTGCTGTTTCCAGTAGTGCCTAGCCTCTAAATAATTCATCGTGTGACGCTGATGTTTCCATTTAATTAGCTCCATGCCAGCTAATTCAGTAATCAGAAACATTAGCTATAAGGGAAAGACTTGGCCAGGTCTTTGGTCTCTATTTTTTATATATGTCTTCTTCCCTTGTTCAGATCTAACCTGCCTCGATCGGTTGTCTCCACTAGTTCTCTCTGAAGTTTTTCTTTTATTGATTGAAAATACTCTCTCTAAAGTTTAGTGCTGCATCAGAACGAAGCCTCTCTCTATATATAACCACGGTGTGCATCTTATTCAGGACAAGGGGAATTAAAGCGCAGGCATTGCACGGCCCGTCCAAGATGGCACAGAACCACAGAACTACTGCGGTTGCGCTACCTATGACCATCGCCGGCGGCGTGCCCGTGCCTCAGGACGGTGGCCGCGCCGTCAATCATTCCGATAGGCCCCAGGAGTTACAGGTATCATCAGACTCCCCTCACCCTTGCGTGACTTTTTGGAATTTATTAATGATCGACATATTGTCACTCGATGTAAGGAAATCAAGCTTGTTGTACAAGATGTCAACGGCACCATAGAGATCCTTCTGAAAGGGCATGTGACGATTGTGCACAGCCGCGACCCTCAAAACTCCGGCGGCGACGAAGCCGCAGCAGGACAAGGCGGGGATAGTAATACTACGGCCACGACCGGGCACGCCGCGGCCACCGCCAACGTCGATTCTGAGTCTGAGGTCAACGACCTGGACCGAATCGATATCCGCGTCGATGTTGGGGACCTAGAGAGCATCCGCGGATGGCTGATGGCAGCGGCCACGCTCTTCGCCAGCATCGCGTATCAGGCGGCGACCGAGCCGCCGGCCTGGATGCCCAGCGCCAAGGACGCGATCGACGTGTTGGCCGACTACGCACCTACTTCTTCTCCCGTCACCATGGGGCTAGCTCTGAGGACGTTTGCACACATGTTCTTCAACATGGGCTCTCTAGCGATTTCGCTGACACTGGTGGCGTTGCTGCCCACGATGAACAAGGCGACGCCTATGCGAATATGGAAGGTTGTGATCCAAATGGTCACGGTGCTCACTTTAACCGTCGCTTGTTCCTTCTGCAACGGCATCTCCGAGGATATGGGCGTGAGTTTTGTGGTTACGACCATCATAGCGGTCTACGCCATAACCACCGCCTTGTATATGCGCGGAATGCTGTCCCCGGGACATGATCCCGTTGAGACTAGAATCCGCAACCTCAACCTGCTGGGCTGGCGTCGCAGGGCACCATCACATAATCAGCCACCTGCTGCCACTCATCATTCCAGGCTGCCTGCTTACCAACACGTCTTGAATTGTAACTTACTACTGTGTCTCAAAAGTCAAAACAGCACGCGATCATATACGAGGGGATTTCGCTCGTTGCCTTAGGCCACCTTCGGTTCCTCCAGAATGGACTGTTCCAGGCTCGGAATCATTCCTGCGTTATACAGATTATTGAAGAAATCGTTTGACACGGAACGGTTCCGTAGGAATCGAACGTGGCCTTAGGCTAAAATTATGTTTCCCTGTCCTAAGTGCAGTGTCATCGAAATTTTAAAATTGTATGAGAGAGATTAGAGGGATTCATGAGAGGATTGAGTTGTAAATGACCTTGATCTTACCCTTGGGATGATGAAGCAACTTCCAATCCTCATGCTTCATCCATGCATAGAGAGAGACATGAGTTTGGGTTTGAGGATTTGGGCTCAAGAGAATGAGATGGGAGTGTTCTTGAGCTAACCATGAGATGAGGTGGAGCTGATCACTACTGGAAACCGGCACTTTGCCGAGTGCCGGAAGCTTTGCCGAGTGCATTTTATTGGGCACTAGGCAAAGACGGCTTTGCCGAGTGTTTTTTTCGGCACTCGGCAAAGATGTATTTTGCCGAGTGCCATTTTTCGGCACTCGGCAAAATGCGTCTTTGCCGAGTGCCTTTTTGCTGGCACTCGGCAAAGATGTATTTTGCCGAGTGCCATTTTTTGGCACTCGGCAAAATGCGTCTTTGCCGAGTGCCTTTTTTTGCACTCGGCAAAGAGGCATTTTGCCGTGTGCATTTTTTTTGGCCCTCGGAAAATCATTTTTTCAAAGCAATTTTTGAGGCCCTATATGAATTCAAATGAAAAACTTTTCAACTACAAAGTTGTATGACTTCTCAAGATCTACAAAGTTTATTTTGGTCATTTCTTTATTTGACAAAGCGACAATAACGTTGTTCATAAAATCTACATCTCTCTCATATCTCTCATATTAGTTTTATGAAAGTCGAAGAGAGATATATAAGATTTGTGAATAATGTTACTACCACTATGTCGGATGACCAAATGACCAAAATAAACTTTGTAGATCTTGAGATGTTATGAAATTTTGTAGTTGGCAACATTTTGATTTGAAATCATCTTGTCATACAAAAATGACGTTTGAATTTAAAAATTTTAAAATTTGAATTTTTCAAAAGACCCCGGATGGAAAAACTTCCTAAATGAAAATTGTAGATCTCCAAAAGTTATGAAACTATGTAGTTGACAACTTTTTGATTTGAAATCATCTTATCATGCAAAACTACGCTTGAATCTCTCAAATTTGAAATTTGAATCTTTCAAACGACCTCGGATGGAAAAACTTCCTAAATGAAAATTGTAGATCTCCAAAAGTTATGAAACTATGTAGTTGAAAACTTTTTGATTTAAAATCATCTTATCATGCAAAACTATGTTTGAATCTCTCAAATTTGAAATTCGAATTTTTCAAACGACCTCGGATGAAAAAACTTCCTAATTGAACATTGTAGATCTCGAAAAGTTATGAAACTTTGTAGTTGACCACTTTTTAATTTGAATTCGTTTAGGGCCTCAAACAAGCAATTTACTCTCGATTTAGTATAATATATGAGGATAGATAACGAAATCTAGACACAAGTGACAGTGTAGTGCAGTGGTAGAGCAGCAGACACACGAGAGAGAGGTCGTGAGTTTGAATCCCGCCGGCCGCATTAGCCGTGAATTTTGCTCAAAAAATACAGCGACTTCGATGGCCTGTGGCGCTGGACGGACGAGCGCTAGCCGATGGCGCCCTTCCCCGAAAAAAAATTTTGCTATTATTTTTGGGTTTTTTTTTTTGCATTTTAATTTTTGCCGAGTGTAAATCTTTGCCGAGTGCTTTTCCGGCACTCGGCAAAGGCTTCGCCGAGTGCCCGACAAAAAGCACTCGGCAAAGGCTTCTTTGCCGATTAATTCTTTGCCGAGTGTGGCACTCGGCAAAGCCTTTGCCGAGTGTATTTCGGGCTTTGCCGAGTGCCGCAGGCACTCGGCAAAGTGTGGGTTTCCAGTAGTGGATCTTGCTGCATTTTTTCTTCCTTGTTTTCTCATCTTCTCTCTTTCTCCTTTTCTTTATCTCCTCTCTCTAGTTCATCTTGTTCTTCATTTTTAGAGAGAGAGAGAGGGAGGGTGGAAATGAGAGGGAACAGCTCACTCTCCTCCCAATCTGTAGATTCAATGAATTGACAGGACGGTCTGTTAGAGATACCGGAACGTTTCATCAATCTTCTGTCTTTGGGAAATTGATTTAGAAAATGGGATTTTTGGCATTGAGGCCAATATTTAAGGTCCAAGAGATAGATAATCACTTGTAGAGAGATTAAGGATGTTGGTTAGCACCTTCGCGAGAATTCTCTGATGGTGTTGACTTTGATTTGACCATGGTTGACTCTGGTTTGACTTTGGTTGACCTGAGAGATTCAAAGGGATCGAATTGCGAATTTGGAGTCTGTGTCCAAGTAGAGAACGCTAGGCCGGCATTGTGCTAGAGAATTACAAAGTAGTTCTTGACGGTTTGAGGGTCCCTGCAAGGTGATCAAGAAGGTTTTTATTAAAAGTTTTAGTTGGAACAACTTCGGGTCGTGACAGTATTTTTGCTGTGCTGGGCATGTTGGCGCTGCCAACAGGTTAGAAACAAAAATAAAAAAGTGGGTGTTTTTTTTAAGAGTAAAGTACATTGACGGTCCTCAAACTTGTGCCGCTGTGTCCTCCCAGTCCCCGAACTCTCAAAACAGTCGTTTAGGTCCCTAAACTCTGTTCGGGTGTCTAAATAGTCCAAACGGGTCTAGACCCGTACCCATATGTGGAACCACCTGTAAGTTCCATCTCACTCCTCCCTCCCCTGAGCTCTGTCAAACTCCCACTCCCACTCTCTCCCACTCCCTCTCTCTCTCTCTCTCTCTCTCTCTCCTGAGCTCACTAGGCGACGCGGCCAGGGGCGGGGGCAGCGCGGCCGGGGGCGGGGGCGAGCGCCGGAGCGGTTGGGGCAGGGGCGCGCGATGCTTGGCCGTGCGTGGCTGCGGGCCCGAGGAGGCGCAGCGTGGATGCTGGTGCCATCGTCTGGCTCTCTTGCGCCGCGCATGGTAGGCTGAGCGACCGGCGTTGGGCCACGTAGACGGCCAGCTCGGGCGGCGGTGCAAATCAGCAGCGTCTTGCAGCCAGTGGGTGAGGTGCGGACGAGGAGGCGCTTGGCGCTTGGCGCGGTGAGGTGAGGTCGGGTGCCGCAGCGCGGGTGGTGGCGCGGGTAGATCTGGCGGATGGCCGCGTGAGGCCGCCTGCCGGGGAGGCGAGCGAGGCCGCGCCTTTCCTGAGATGGAGAGGAGAGAGGTGGAAGATGGAGCTGACATGTGGGCCCCACATGTCAGCGAGCCGGTTAGTCACTGTCTAGACCCGTTTGGACTATTTTGACACCCGAACAGAGTTTAGGGACCTAAACGGCCGTTTTGAGAGTTCGGGGACCGGGATGACACAGCGGCACAAGTTTGAGTACTGCCAGTATACTTTACTCTTTTAAAAATAATATATAAAAAAGGATTAAAAATAAAAAACCTGAGATACAAGTAGTGTTTTGTAACTCCATGCATTCGAAATTATAAGACATTTTGAATTTTCTATATACATCTTCAGTTACATATACACTATGTCTGTCTATCGTACATAGAAAAATTAATATATATAGAAAAGATAAAACATCTTAGGGAGGGAGTAGTTACTACGCAAATTCTCAAAAAAAAAAAGAGTTACCAAGCAGCCAAAGTTGACCAGTACAAAAGTATGCGTAGAAAAATAAATTTGACAACAACCTTTTGCCTAAACCCGGGCCGACTGTGTGGTCACTGGAATTGACTAATAAGTTGCACTTATATGAAAAGCCAGAAACGTTCATTCGTTCGGACAGCAGACCACATATTTCATAGAAAAAGAAGTTATAATCCAAAAGCTTAGAGAAGAGCATTGGTGAAGAAGCTCATCTCGTCATGAGCCGTGGCGCAATGATTCCATTGCTGCTGCGTGCACTTCTCGGGATTCAATTGGTGGCTGCAGCATCGGAAGTCGTCCTTGGAAGCCAAAAGGGTAATGGCACAGTTCCCTCCGTCGCCTCCCTCCCGGGTTGCAAGACGAGCTGTGGGGACTTGACCTTCAGCTATCCCTTTGGCATCGGTGCTCATTGTTCCCGGGGTCCTGAGTTTGCGCTCACCTGCAACGAGTCCGCTCAGCCCCCAATACTCCTTTTCCGTGATGGCATCACCCAGGTTACCAGCAATATTGTCATAGCTACATACGGGGGCGTGGGCGTCCAATATGTGGGAATCAATATGCACTCGACTATCCCACCAGTGAGTTATGGTGTCAATGTCACTAGTAGAGAAACGATCTTTGATTTCACCTCGAAATTTGGCTTTAGTCCCGGTATTTTTCGTGCCCGGGACTAGAGAGACATTTAGTCCCGGTTTATAGCTCCAACCGGGACTAAAGGTCCCTGCCCAACGGCTACTGCGGCAGACTTTTGCTGCAGGGGACCTTTAGTCCCGGTTGAAGCTACCAACCGGGACTAAATGTTAACTTTTACTCCCGGTTGGTACCTCCAACCGGGAGTAAAAGTCTACTTCCGGCTAGAGGCTCCGTCCGGGACTAGAAAGGGACCTTTAGTCCCGGTTTCTGTATGCGACCGAGACTAAAGGTCTCTCTTCTCGCTGCTTCCTAAGCAGTAACGCTGCACCCTCTCTCAATAAGTGCGTTTGCATCCATCCGCTCTCCACTCCCCGGCTCGCAATAAATCCTTCCTCCCCAGCTCCACATTCTCCCATCTGCTGTTCCCCCTCCAACCATGGCGTCTTCTTCCTCCCCGAGATCTCGCCGTGCTCCTTCTCCTGCCTTCTCCTAGCTACCCAGCTGCGTGCGTGCCTTTCCTCATGCGATATCACCGACAATCTTTGGAAGAAGGCATCACTGGCCGGGATCAAAGGTACATATCGCCTGTCTCAGATCTCGCAGCCTAGCCGGCTTCCTCCTCACCAAGTTCTTGGCCTGGGAGCCCTTGCATGTGCGTGCCCTAGATCTGCTAGCTGCTGCCTG